TCGGTAAGTTTTATGCTTTAGCATCCTTGCATGCGTGTGAGTGACTGCCATGAATAGCATGCTTACCATGAGGCTATTTGCTTATGTGATATAACTGCCTGAATGCTTGTGGGTGAAGGTTGGGTTATTTGAATTGGGACAATTCATCAAATGTTTGTTTTAAGCCCACTAGATAGTGGCAAAACCATCTTTTCTAAGCCCACCCAAGGGTGGCAAAATTTGCATTTTAAGCCTACTTGCGAGTAGCAAACCATCTTTCAAAACAAACATGAAATGTTTTGTTCCAATTCAGACGATCCAGTCTATACTTATATGCTGTGCGCATCACATAGTAAATCTAGGCTAATAACCGAAATAAGAACACACAATGTTTTCAAAATTGGATATCATGGTTAGTAGAGGCCGATCTTTGATCGGGCGGCGGGGTGCTCACGAAGTGACCTTCCCAATCGTACCCAAGTTCCCAGCCGAGGCAACTTTGGTGATGACGGACACGTGGCCTTAGGCAAACGAGTCAGGGTTTCCTAAATTTCCCAAAATAGAACATTTAGGTGGCGACTCTGTATCTGGCAAAGCAGTCCATGTTTGCCACTTCTTTCAAAATCTGTTTTCTCAAAACGATTTGCCGGATTTAGACTCTTTGGTTCAGATTTAGAACCGTGACAATTTTAGAGTCCTGAACTGTAGTGAGCCCAATATCGAACGGAACCGGGGGGGGGGACTCGTTCCTCTCCCGGGGCGTTCGGGGGACGTCTACAGGCGAGAATAAAGGAAGTTGAGGAACACTTGAAAATAAAGGAGCCGACTGAGGAAATAAGAGAGGTGCTTCAGGAGCACTTGCCGAAAATAAGGGAGGAGTTTGAGGAGTAACAGACATGGAAGTTTGAGAAGCATTATATGAACTTGTTTTATTTTTCTTTGCCAACGCAAGCTCCAAACCACCTTTTATCCGCCTCCGTCCCTTGCTAGTGCACTCTCTTCTCTTGAGTCCTTTTGTTTGAACTACATTTTTATCCGCTACACCATCCACTTCAAAGCTTTCGGGGGGGGGGGGGCTTTCTTCTTGAATAGTATCTGAACAAGGCATATTGAATTTTGCGCATAACATGGTTTCAATGTCTACAATTAATTCATCCGCTTTCTCGACCGTCAATTGTATGTTTCCTCACTTTCAGAAGCTCTACACGCTACTGATCTGAATATTGCCATCAATGACCTATAACGTGAAGTTTGATGCAATCTTACATCAACCTGAATATCATGCCCACACCTATCTTTCACATTTTCAGATCTTGCTTTTTTAGTCCATCTCTTCAGAATATATTGTGAAGGAATCTCTTTGAATTTGAGTCTTTCTCTAAGGATCTTCAAACAATGACTACACAAAATGCCCTTCATTTCAAACTTCCTACAACTACAGGTGACTGAATCATCACACTCCTGCCTCACCTTCCTCACCTTTATACCATCACTATCAAGAACCGCATAAACGGTACTCTCACCATCATTTTCAATTTCTTCAATGTTTACTTCAAGGGACTTGACATACTCATCCTGAAATTTTTCAAAAATTTTATTTGTGTAAACATCTGCAGCTTGTTCCATAATCTTCACTTTAATATTCACCCTTGGCAACTTTTGGCTTAGAGCATATTCGGCTTGTAACTCTTTGTACCTCTTCTCAGACAGAACTCGATCAAAATGCATGAAAAATTGCATTAAGTTATGATCAGACTGAATGAAATCTTTCAAGAAAGCATTAAAGGATTCACTAAGTTGGGTGCTACTCATGCCCGCACCCCATGCATTTTTAACATATGGCCAACCCCATTTTTCCTTCACCCCAAATGTTAACTTCAACCAATGATTATCTCTTACTTCATACTTGTCAAGCATTTCCTCCCATTTTAACGTAAACTCTTCCTCATCTTCAATGTCGTACATAAACTTGGATAAAACACTCTTCATCCCCTTATCCTTCACCGCCTTATCCTTGAAGATAGAATTTGCATGCCTTAATGCATTTTGCATCAAATGCCAAGTGCAAAGGCGGTGGGTTGTGTTAGGCATGACAATAGGTATGGCCTTAGCCATTGCAGCATCCTGATCCGTAAAAATTATTTTTGGAGCCTTACTTGACATTGCCTCCAAGAATCTTCTAAAAATCCATACAAAAGAATCGGCGGTCTCATCATACATCAAAGCTGCACCAAATATCACAGTTTTCCTATGATGGTTAAATCCAACAAAAGACGCCAATGGTCTATGTGCACTATTTAACTTGTAAGTAGTGTCGAAAGTCACAACATCACCAAATTGCCCATAATCCATGATTATCTGAGCATCGGCCCAAAATATGTTTGTAATCTGCTCCTCGTTATCTAATTGGACCGAGTAAAAAAAAGATGGATTCTCCAATGATTTGTCACGAAAATATTGCAAAATGCTACCTGCCTCCCCATATGCTAAACTGTTTTGCCTCTTCGTTCTCAAATAATTTTTTTGGTCCAGTTTTGTGAACCCAAGTGACTCCCTTCCACCAACTTCATTACCCATGAGCTCAAATGCAGCATTAAGACGGATTCCAGACTTTTCGACTAAATCTATTTCGATTGCCTGTGATGCAGATATCTTCCTTTGGGATGGTAACATATGCGTACATTCTGTTGGTACAAAGATATGATTATGTTGTTCAACAAAATCACTAACAAAAAATTTCTGCATATTCCTATCCCACTTAATGACAAGTCGGGCTTGACAACCAGTCCTCACTTCCTGCCTAGGATTTTTTGTTAATGGATCTCGCTTGTCGACAACCCGAAATCCCTCCTTATTACAAACAAATTGCCTTGAAGTGATTTGCCCCTCTTTGCTCTTGTTTATATAACCCCTTCTAATACTAAAGCCCAACCTTCCTCCATAAGTATTATAGAAATCATATGCTTCTTGTTCTGTATCAGACATCAATGCGAACTCTAGGCTTCCAATCACACTCACCCTCGTCATTCTCATGATTGTTAGGTTCCATATGAATGTGCCAAGTCACTTAAAAAATTAAGAAGTGCTCAATATTAGCATAAAAACTGTAAATTATGTTTGCAAAATAATACAAACTGAATAAGATAATCAACGAATAAAAGAAATTACATAATCAAGGCAAACAAAAAAAAAAGAAATTAACAAAAACCAAATGCCAAGTGCAATATGCTATCTTTATGGTTAGAGTTGCAGTAATAAATTTCATTTGAGGAGGGTCAAACTTTATCAATAAAGTAGGATAGAAGAGAAATAAAAAGAGTTGATGCCATTTATATATGAATGGAATTTGGGCTATGATTAATGTCAAATAATTTCTTTTCCCAGTATTGCTTGGTAGAGAAGGGCACAAATGATACATTTTGCATTAGCTATAAAACTTAAAGAATGAGCCTTAACTCTTATGAGCCTATAACAAAAACTACAGAACGTCATAATAAGTTTCTAGCTTGTATGTTTGTTACAGAGATTTATCTACACAATATGTTTGTCAAGTTTCATTTTACTTGAAATTCTATCAGAAGAAGAAAGAAGCACCTATAAAACACATTGAGCAGTAATCCCATTGAAAAAAAAAAATTGATTAATGAATATCTGATGAAAAAATATATGTTCCCTCAGATGTTGATTAATGCATATCTGATAAAAAAATACATGTTTGTTACAAAGAAGCACCTTCTCAGATGTTGCCAGTGGTGGACGTTTCTTTATATGTTCCCTCAACCCAATTAATGAATATCTGATAAAAAAATACATGTTTGTTACAAAGAAGCACCTTCTCAGATGTTGCCAGTGGTGGACGTTTCTTTATATGTTCCCTCAACCCAATTAATGAATATCTGATAAAAAAATACATGTTTGTTACAAAGAAGCACCTTCTCAGATGTTGCCAGTGGTGGACGTTTCTTTATATGTTCCCTCAACCCAATTAATGAATATCTGATAAAAAAATACATGTTTGTTACAAAGAAGCACCTTCTCAGATGTTGCCAGTGGTGGACGTTTCTTTATATGTTCCCTCAACCCAATTAATGAATATCTGATAAAAAAATACATGTTTGTTACAAAGAAGCACCTTCTCAGATGTTGCCAGTGGTGGACGTTTCTTTATATGTTCCCTCAACCCAATTAATGAATATCTGATAAAAAAATACATGTTTGTTACAAAGAAGCACCTTCTCAGATGTTGCCAGTGGTGGACGTTTCTTTATATGTTCCCTCAACCCAATTAATGAATATCTGATAAAAAAATACATGTTTGTTACAAAGAAGCACCTTCTCAGATGTTGCCAGTGGTGGACGTTTCTTTATATGTTCCCTCAACCCAATTAATGAATATCTGATAAAAAAATACATGTTTGTTACAAAGAAGCACCTTCTCAGATGTTGCCAGTGGTGGACGTTTCTTTATATGTTCCCTCAACCCAATTAATGAATATCTGATAAAAAAATACATGTTTGTTACAAAGAAGCACCTTCTCAGATGTTGCCAGTGGTGGACGTTTCCCGCCTAATTCTTACCATTCTTGATTTGTTCATGCTCCGTTATGATAAGAGATGGGAACAGATTACTACAAACTCGTCCAAAATTAGATCCATGACCATCCCTAAGTTGTGAAAGAAAAAATAATGAAAAATATTGTAAGTCCTAAATTTTCTACCAAATAAATGATGAAATATTTCATATGGGTGTGAGGTCTATAAAAGTATACATCCCACACTCATATGAGACATTTGATTATTTATTTAGTAGAAAATTTAATATTCCTAATATTATTCAAAAATAATTGATTAATATATATGATGTGTCATTTAAATTTTTTAATTTTTTAAAATAAAAAAATTAGCTGGTATAGGGGCTTTAATAGTAACTAATTAAACCAGTTTGCACGTGCATGACACATGCCATGCAACTTTGCTACGGCCGCCCGCCACGACACCCTACACTACTCTGGCCTTTCCCAAGTTGCCATTTTTTCCCATTTCATTGCCACACTCACTCCGAATACCGTTAGTTGAGCACAAATTCTAGAGCGAGAGAAACAAAAAAAATTAGACAAACTACAGAGGCGACCTGAGATCAGAAAAACCAAAAACCCTAAGCGATCAAAAACAAAAACACTATGTGGAGAACACTCTCTTCTCAGCTCCGAACCCTAGCCTCATCCCGATCTTCCTCCAAATTCAACCGATTCGTCTCCTCCGCCAACCTATCTTCTTCTCCATCGCCGTTCCGGTCCGCCGTCATTCCATTCTCTCGCCAATTCGCTTCTGATTCAGGTAATTTCTCATCTCTCTTTCGTAATCCCTATCGGATCTGAATGTCTGTAATGTCTGTGTACGATAGTGATTTGTGTATATCTGTTTGTAGTAGCAGAAAATGTTGTTTCGAAGAAGAGAGTTGAAGAAGTAATGCCTATTGCTACTGGACACGAGCGCGAGGAGCTTGAGGCCGAGCTTCAAGTGAGTTCGAATTATTACGTGTTTATTTGAATTCGGCGTTTTGATCGGTCTTGTTTGTGATTATGAGTTAATGCTTTTTTCTTTTTCTTTTTCTTTTTTTACTGGTTTGCTTTGATTAGGGACGAAGAATTCTAGATATCGACTATCCAGATGGTCCTTTCGGTACGAAGGTCAGTATGAATTTTTGTCCTTCATATTCTATACATGGCTGTTTTGATCATTGTGACCTTATGATAGTTTTAATTTGTAATTTTATGTTCCTGTGCTATAAAGAATGGTCTGAGTCAACTGAATTATACGTTAATTTTCGTTTTTATTGGAAATTATTCAAAAATCATAATATAATCTCTCGTGACATTCAAAAAAATGCACCTCAGAACCCTATATAGAGTATAATAATAAGAAATTATTAAGCAAAAAAAGTAGAAGAAGAAAAGTTGTGGGACCATTGAGTTGAACTGACGAACGTAATATTGAATTTGATCTATATTTATTTTACTAAAAAAAGAAATAGATAATTCATCATGTGAGCAAGTTATTTTAGTCTTAAACATCTATGTATTATGATATTTTCGTTTTAGGAAAAAAATGATGAAAAATGGTTAATGTTGGGTCTAATTAGATCTGGTTGAATGCTATTAAGAACCTATATGATTACCAAAATAACAACAAATAATGCATAGGTATTGATTATTTTGTACCAAACTGCCCTAGAAGTTGTATGTCATTTTCACTAAAACAAAGAGGCAAAAAATGGTTGGAATCTATTGGACAAGATAGTTTTAAGAATTGTATGAATCATAAAAAGCGAATCGATTGTGAATCATGTGATTCACTATAGATTCTATTCCAAAATAGATTCATCCATAGATTCGTATCGATTTATGTATGAAGTATGAATCATGAATCAAATTGTGAATCATAAGATTCTGATAACTAACTTATCAATAATAATGATCAATGTCCATTTGGAAATCAAAGTGCACTTGAGTTTATCAAGTCACATGCAGTTCATCCTTGTAGAATTTTCTAGTTACTTGATGCTTGTTAGTATCTGTCACGACCCCAAACCGTCCCTAGTAGTTTGGTGCCGTGATGGCCAGTAATCTGTAATTACCGAAGGCCAACTTTCAAAGTTTAACACAATCAGAGTATAACAAACGGGGCGTACAAATACGGAAGCAATAAATCAAAATACAAGTGGTCCATAAGAGCAGTGCATAAGTCCAATGAAATGGCATACATCTTTACAGCTTGAATACAACAAAGCAAAATACGTATTACATCTTTGATCAAAAGGCTTCTCGAGCCGACATATACAAAATGACAATGAATACAAGCCCAGAAGCATGATTTTCAAGATTCGCCGACATAAAAGAAATGACATCGCTGACGTGAATACAAACAAAGCCGACAAAATCATGGATTCAAAACAAGCTTTCAAAAACACATTCTAGGCGTCGCCGACGTCCTGCTCATCACCTACATATATATAGAGAGGGTGAGCTTGGATACTCAATGAATGGTACTAGTAATAAAGGTTTTGCATGAATATAGCCGAGTCTTTCAAAATTAAACATGCCAAAAGCATACGATTATTAGCCGAGATCTTTTCAAAGCAAAACACATCAAAACTTTATCAAAACAAGAGATGAATCGTATTCATCTATCAAGTCTTACAAGTCTCAAGGGATGCTTACTGACATCGGCAAAACACAAATCGAGCTTTCCGAACAAACAAGTCCACGCGGTAAACCGTCAGTGGCAAAACAAGGACTGCACGATCCGTAATCGATTAGTCAAAGGTACTGCGAAAGTTTATAGTCCTCCAGCACAAGGGACTTGTGTTACTTAAGCCTGTAGCTCTTTTTAACACGATGGTCTTGTGTTACTTAGGCTCGTAGCCTGTTTTAACACGATAGTCTTTCCAAGAAAGGACCGTATCCTTTTATACTTAGTACTGCGAAAGTTTAGGGTCCTCCAGCACAAGGGACTTTTTATACTTGGTACTGCAAAAGTTTAGAGTCCTCCAGTACAAGGGACTTTTCAAGAATGACATCAAAACGAAGCTTATACTTGATACATCAAAACAGAGCTATTCATTCATGCTTAACAAATACTTTCGTCAAAACAAAGCAAAGCAAGATTTATCAAAACAGTATAACATAGTTTTATTAGAAATACCACTCACATAGATCTCCTCGGGTGTAGGCTCAAAGCAAAGATCAAGGACCTACAATCACATGGCAATCACATTCTCAAAACAAACTTTACATGCATGCAAATGATCCCGGCATTCTCGCCAAATCCAAGTCAATAACAAAGCAAAACAAGCTGGGAGTTTAAACACTGCTCCCGTCTCATGAAAATACACTGGGTACCAACCAGGTCTTTGCCGAGGTCCCACACCTCCTTGCCGAGGCCCCACACCCCCTTGCCGAGGTGTGGTCCCGATGGCCTCATTCAAAACAAAGTCGGGAAAAACCTGGGTTTCCCTTTGAAGAACATGAAGAACATGAAGAACATGATCATGAAGAAGATGAATGCAAGATCATAACCTGTTACAAAAATCTGAGATTTCATGCCATGAGTTCAAAACATGGACCTGGGTACCCATACAAGAAGGTCATGCAAGAACAAACACAAAACATGGTTCCAGTTCCAAACTTTCGGATCAAAACGAGACTTTCTTCAAGAACACATGAATACTATCATTTTCTTCTGAAACCAACTTCAAATCGATGCATGACATGCTAAACAGATTCGATCATGCAATGCAGCTAGATGATCAATAAGAACAACACGAGTTGATCAAGATTCTTACCTCAAAACTCGAATCTAACGGTTCAACCCTCGAAGATCAAGCTTGGAAGATCTATTCTCACTCAAGAACTTCTCCTCCTTTCTCTAGAGCTTCTCTCTCTAAAGGCAAAGATTTGAGACAAAATGATTTGTTTCTAGGTCTGTCGGCTGTCTTAACAATCAGCTCGGACACGTGGCGCTACTGGGTTGGTTCAACTCAAAAGGTGATTGATTGATAAGACAAGTCTATGACAAAGCGTACACAGCAAGCTAAGGCAAGACACATCGGCAAGTAATGACATCGGCTAAAGTCAAAGCTTCGACAACAGGGTAATAAAGACATCGGCTAGGGAGGACGACACTTGACTAAGCTGTGCCACATCTTGGCCGGGGTGTGCCACACCTCGGTCTAGGCCATACCTGCCCAAGGACGAGGATCACTAAGTGCAAAATATCTCGGCAAACCTGCTCGGGTGAAGATGGGGTCGGCCAAGGGGTTCCAAAACAGTTCTAAGCACAAAGGTTTAGAGGTGAACTAAGCTCAAGATGACCTCGGCTACACACCAAGCAAGGAACAAAACCATGCAAGCAATACTTAAACAAAACAAGGCAAGACAACTTGCAAAACAACATAACAAGACAAGATTATGCATGAATGTATGTAAGTATGGCAAGAGTAAGGTGAGGGTTGCTACAGTCTACCCCCCTTAAAGAAGTTTGGTCCCCAAACTTAAATTACCTTGCTCTATAAACAACTCCAGATAACGGATTCTCACATCTTCTTCCTTTTCCCACGTGGCTTCTGTGCCATAATCTCCTGCCATTCGACCTTTACATTGGTATCGATTTGTTTCTCAACTGCCGTCACTTGCCTGTCAATAATCCTCATTGGTTTCTCCTCGTAGCCCAAAACCTCATTACCGTAATCCCAGAATGATCAATTATATGTAGTTGGTTTGGATGTACTTCCTCAACATAGAACATGAAACACATTGTGGACTTGCTTAAATCTGGGGCAAAGTCAAGTCTGTAGGCAACGGAGTTAACCTTGTCAAGAATTTTCAAATGGCCCAATATAACGAGTGCTAATTACCTTTCTTCCCAAATTTGGAAACTCCTTTCATTGGTGAAACTTTCAGGAATACATGATCTTCCAACTTCAAATTCTAACTCATTTCTTCTCTGGTCGGTGTAAGTGCTTTTGTCGGCTCTGGGCAGTTTTAATCCTGTTGGATAGTTTAGATCTTTTTCTGTTTTCTTTGAATCAATTCGGACCAAGCAGAGCTCTGTCTCCATTTCGGTCCAACATATCGCGATCTACACTTTCTCCCGCGTCAAAGCTTCAAACGGCGCATGCGAATGCTAGCTTGATAACTGTTGTTGTAAGCGAATTCCACTAAGGCAAATGCCGCTCCCCAACTTCCTAGGAAGTCTATAGTACACAAAGTCTAAGCATATCTTCAAGCGTCTGAATTGTCCTCTCAGTCTGCCCATCTGTCTGGGGATGAAAGGCTGTACTAAATCTCAGCTCGGCTCCAAAAGCCTTTTGTAGACTCTGCCAAAATCTAGAAACAAATTTAGGATCTCGGTCTGACACAATTGACATCGGCACTCCATGAAGTCTAACAATCTCGTTCACATATAACAAGGCAAGTTGATCGGCGTTGAAGGTAGTCTTAACAGGTAAAAAGTGTGCTGACTTAGTTAACCTATCAACAACAACCCAAATCGAATCCATACCTTTCGGTGTCTTCGGCAAACCAATCACAAAATCCATGGAGATGTGTTCTCATTTCCACTCAGGAATCGGCAAAGATTGAAGAAGTCCCGCCAGTCTTTGATGTTCTGCTTTCACTTGTTGACAATGCAAACACTGGGACACGAATTCGGCTATTTCTTTTTTCATATTTGGCCACCAAAACGTCTGTTTTACATCCTGATACATCTTAGTGTTCCCTAGATGAACAGCAAACTTGGAACCGTGAGTTTCCTGCAAAATTCTCCTTTTCAACTCTGGGATGTCAGCCACGCATAACCTTCCTTCAAACTTGAGCACCTGATTTTCGATGGTATATCCTGATCTCGGCTTTGTGACAATTTCCTCGGCTATCTTCTTGAAGAATTTATCCTCCAACTGTCTTGTCCTTACCTCATCAACAATAGTCGGCTCCACTGCTATCATGGTCAAACACGCCAAATTTCCATCTGACTTTCTGCTCAAAGCGTCGGCCTGGATGAACAGCAAATCTGGAACCATGAGATTCTTACAGAATCTTCCTTTTCAACTCTGGGATGTCGGCCACGCATAACCTTCCTTCAAACTTGAGCACTTGATTTTCGATGGTATATCCTGATCTCGGCTTTGTGA